TGATTGCTTCCAGGAAGATGTGATCAGGATATGGGCTTCCCTTTTCACTTTTCTTATTGCTTAACTCAGAGTAACTTTCACAGGTGTTGTCTGTTTCCCTGGTATATGGCAGTTGGTATTGGTTCTTGCCTGGGTTTTGGTGTTTTATAGAGTGTGATTGTAGCTTGGCTATATGGCAGCAGCTGCTGACTCTTCTTGTGTAATATAGGGAGACAATGAATTTTCCAAAGGCAGAAGGTGTGTGTGTGGGGGCATATAATAGCAAAACAGCACCAGTGGAAAAAAACAAGAAAGAAAGAAAAAGAGTAAAAAACAGCAACAACAAAAACTAGACTGAATACTGCAGTCTGTCATCACAGAAAAGGGAGAGAAGGGAGAGAAGAAAAAGAAAAAAGAAAAAAGAAAAAGTCTGTAGCCTAATATGAGTATGACTTTAATGTCCTCTTCAGCTTCTTGCTTTCAAAGCTGCCTGAGAGATTTCAAGATGCTAGTGTTGGTTTTTATGCTATATCTCAGGATTTAATTTAATTTTCGGCCTGTTTTGTTTTTAAACTCTTTCCTCTCTACAGGCCTATTCTGCCTTTTCCCGTATTAAAAAACAGAACAAACACAAATAAGAAACGTTGGGCTGAGTGTCTCTGCGCATGTGTGGCGGAAGAGCCCACCAGTGGTGAGGGTGGGGGGTGTCTACTCGCTCAGGCTTCCCCCTCTAGTCACCAGAATGTAGGTGGGCAAACAGTGGGTGCGCCAATGACCAGATACCAAAAAAGAAAGAAAGAAAGAAAATCAGAACTAAGCAAAACTGACAAAGTATATTGTTCACCTTTGCTCCAAGGTTCCCGCGGCGTTTTTCTGTGGTGTTTCTGCTTCCTCCGCTTGGCCTTGCCATTTGGTCTCGCCCAAGATGTTGGCTCCCGGCTTCCGAGCCCAGCTTGGCAGATCCAAAAGTACATGATTTTTTACTTCAGCTCCAATTTCCACAAGCTATAAGCCTTCAAACTTTAAAAAATATTCCTATTTCTGTGGTTCCGCATTTTGGAGCTCTGCCCTGAATCTGCTTTGCCTGGTATTCTGTGGTATTGCTGACGGTGAACTTCACTGCATCTCCACCCTAGCTGCCATCAAGCCCCACCTCCTCTTGTGGTAGTGTTTTGTACTTTTCTTTGCATACGTCTTTTGTTTCTCTAGTTACATTTATTCCTAAGTATTTCATCTTTTGGGTGGCTATTGTAAATGGTATTGCTTTCCTGATTTCCTTTGCAGAGCTCTCTTTATTAGTGCAAAGGAATCCAACTGATTCGTGTATATTATCTTGGACCTTGCCATTTTGCTGAATCATTCTTTGAGTTCCAGTAATTTTCTTGCTAATTTTTTTGGGATTTCTTATGTATAGTATCATGTCATCTACAGCTTTACTTCTTTGCCAATTTGGATGCCTTTAATTTCCTTTTTTGCCCTGTAACTACGGCTAAAACTTCCAGCACAATATTGAACAGGAGTGGTGATAAAAACATGTTTCGTTACTGTTCACCGGGGAATGCTTTCAGTTTCTCATTGTTGAGAGTAATGGTGGCTGTTAGTTTTGTATGTATACTCTTAATTATGTTCAACAGAATTAAGTCTTCAGAATTCAAATGGTTAATATTAAGCAGTTCTGCTTTTGTGTCTGATCCAGTCACTTCTAACTCATAACAATCCTGCTTAGGTTTCCTAAGGCTGTAAGTCTTTATGGAAGCATTAAGTGTCAGCTTTCTCCTGCAGAGTGGCTGGTGGGTTCCAACAGCTGACTGTATAGGGTTTTTACAGGAGCAGAATGCCTCATTGTCTCCTATAAAGTGGCTGGTGGATTAAAACAGCTTATCTTACAGTTAGCAGTCAAACATACAACTCCCTAGGCTCCAGTCAACTGAATTTGAAGTTACCTACAAGTGCAATTGTGAGGATGGCAGAGTTACAATGAGTAGGAACTGACTCCACAGCACCCAACAACAATAACAACAACAGAGGTGCATATTGTAGTGAAGACATGGAAAAGTAAGGCCTACTCAAAATCAGATGCTACACCAAGAAATGAAAATATTCTTTCAAGGTTGTGATGCCGTTCTTAATAGACTCAAAGTAGAAAAAAACAGTGCCAAGTGGAATTTTGGGGTTTTGTCGCTTGTGTGGTTCCAAAATGATAATGATGGGACCCAAAACAAACAATAACCTTCCCTGATAGGTTGGCATTCCAGGGCCCACCTGGCTTTCCATTCAGATAAAAACATGCATGATAGAATGACAAGCTTGTCACCGATTCATGTGGCACGCAAGCATCTGGATTCTTGAATATTAAATTCATGTTAAGGTTAAGTGCCGGTCAGTTAATGGTTTGAAGCAGCTGCTTCACAGAAGAGAATGTGGCCATCTGCTCCCATAAAGGTTTAGTCTTGGGAACCCTATGGAGCAGTATGGGGCCACTGTAAGTCAGAATTGACTTGACAGTAGTGGATTGGGTTTAATGGTTATCACATAGAGCTTTAAAACCAAGCCAAAGTCCTCCCACTGAGTTGATTATGACCCTGTGTGCTAGAGTCGAATGGAGCGCCCTAGGGTTTTCTTAGCTAAAATCTTTACGCAGCAGATCCCCAGGTCTTTCTTCTACAGCACTGCTGGGTGGATTCAAACTGCCAACCTTTTGGTTGGTAGACAAATGTAAAGCATTTGTGCCACCCAAGGATATAACGTTTAGAGCTCAGCACTCAATAAATGCCCTTGAAGCCTGTTTTTCAATCAGATTTGTAAATTCTTTTAGATTGCGGGGGTTTTCAACTTGGATAGCTTGACACTTGGGGCTGGATGATTTGTTGTTGTGAGGGCTGCCCAGTGTATCATATTAGATTTAACCATTAGTATCGGTAGCACTGCCCGCCTCTCCCCTCAGTTGAGGCAGCTAAAAATGTCTGCACACATTGCCAAATGTTCCTTGCAAATGACTTTTGCTACAATTAAATCAGTGATTACTTGCAGTTTAATTTATAGCAGACTGTATAAATTTTAATGAAACAAATGGTTTCATTTTAGGATAATTTCTGGCAACTTAGTGACGTAAATATTACATCGAGGTTAAAGCCGACTTGGCTCGGCAGTGCTCACTCACCTCACACCAGAGTCTCGGACGGACCTGTTGAGCCGTGCTGCTGTTACTTCCCTTAGTGCAGCACTTGTGATTTCTAGTAATGCAACGACCATGACAAGTTCTCATGTGACCACTTACAGCACAGGGCACTCTGAAAGAAAGCACCAATCCCTCAGCCATAACTGATCCCTCAGACTCCACAGTATCTGCAAATCCCAATGCAGAATGAAATGCCAGTCAGTGGAGATGCTCTTTGGAAACGGGAAGTGACAAGTGTACCTGGGAGATTCATCATTTTGTTCTCGGAAAACATTTGCTGTCACGATACTTGAAAGCTAACGTGTCTGGGTTGGGGAGGAGAGGGCTTGACAGGAGAGGCCGTTACAAACTCCAGAAGGAGCTTGTCCAGTGGGCATTTTGCACATAGATAATAATTTCTGATCAACCCCTTTCAGTGATATGTAGCTTATGTTCAACTATTCAGAGGTTACTGTTTCCTAACCAAGATGTCATTTTGAAGTGATAGTCTAGTCACTAAACAAACAAAAAAGCCATTTATTGAATACTTTTTATTTAATACCAAGGGTTCAAAGTGTCAAAACAGTCTATTTACCCAAGTGAAAAACAACTTAATAGTAACAATTTTGAAGTTTCATTTCAGAAGAATATGACCAACGCTTCAACGTTATGGTTTGTGATTTTTTTAAATTAAAATGTTACCATCTTACTCTAAGTAATATATAAACAGATTACTACTAACCAACATTAAACTAAAACGTGGGCAACAATAAGCATGTAACTGGGTGCTTACACACAAACAAGGGTTTGAATTAAGATATCAAGTCTTTCCAAAAATATTGTAGTGCTTAACTCCTCAACTGCTCCCTGGCGTTAGAAAGATTGAAAACAATCCTTTTCTGAAGTTGGTGTCTTCATAGAAGAGGAGGACATTTTTAAAGACATTCTGAAATTTAAAAGCAAATAAAACAAAACAAAATCCCTCTACCAAAGAGTCTATCCAATCTGTAAGGCTGGTGAAGATGAATATTTCAGGGAGAGATGCTTTGGAAGTATGAGGTAACTGACCAAGCGAAGATATTTTGTTAAAAAAAACATTCTGGAAAGCCAGAAAAGAATGAAAACCAGTTAACAGTAATACTTAGAATTTAACACTTTTTCTTAAGCATTTAAAAATACGCACTCTGTATGGAACACAAGTACTGGAAGTGAGCAACAGCCCACATTAATTCCTATTATGCTTCTTTCTTGGTTCAGTCTCAGCCTTCGGAGCTGCTCTTTTGCGGCGGTTCTCTCGTGGGCTTATTTCTGTGCCTGGAAGGTCACTTCTGCAAACAGAAAAAGAAAATCGCATCTTAGAAAGCCATGATCATTATTCTACAGATTCAAGTTTACAAGTGCTTTTAGAAATATTTATTTAAACCTCAAAATTGCTCTGTGCTCTATGGACACACAATATTATTCTAACTTTATGAGAAATGAGAAAACAGTGAATTAGCAAAAGAGGATCGTAAGTGACAGAGCCAAAATCTGATTTTTCTCTTCTGAATCAAATTCCAGTACAGTTTGACACTTCTGCTTAGTATGCAGAAAGCTGCAAAACATGACATAGCTCTTATCTGAAAAAAAAACCGGAATAATCTAACAAATTTATAACTTTTGTGGTGTCTTGTTGTCAGAGACCTGAAGTTGTAATGAAACCGTAGAAAATAAAATTCCAAAGAAAGGTAAGGCTCTCCCAGAAGAAATGGGCACACAAATTCTCTCTTTGGTTGAGGGTGGGTTTAGAAAAAGATCCACGAAAAATTTTAATGAGGTCTTAAGGAGCTCTGGTAGCGTAGTGGTTATGAATCGGGCTGCGAACCTCAAGGTCAGCAGTTCGAAACTACCAGCTGTTCCGCGGGAGAAAGATGAGGCTTTCTGCTCCCATAAAGATTTACAGCCTCGGAAATCCTGTATAGGGTTGCTATGAGTCGGAACTGACTCCACGGCACAGAACAACAAGAAGTATGTACTTAAACACACCAATGATCATAAATTGAGTAGCAAAGATACAACTGTATGCTATCTACACCTAAACCCATATAAATATATTAAAACTGATGAGTGTTGAGCTATTGCCCTAAAGAGGTTAGCCTGCCACAGCTTCATAGATACTGGCAGAAGACACAGGACTCCTGGGGAAGGGGAAGGGTAGTTTGTCATTATTCACAATCATAACTATAGCCAGAACCCTTGTCCATAACTGATGGCAATATAAAATATTTCAGTGGCTGTGGAAAATAATGTGGCAGTTCCTTAAAAAATTAAACATAATATTAACATGTGATCCAGCAATTCCATTCCTAATTATATGTCTAAAAGAAGTGAAAGTATCCAATCAAACAGATTCATGTACACCAATGTTATTCACTACAGTCAAAAGGGGAAACAACCAGCAGATGAACGTATTAACAAAACAAAATATACACATACAGTGAGTACTAATTATTCAGCTACATAGAGAAATAAAATTCTGATACATGCCACCACATGGATGCACTTTGAAAACATGATGTTAAGGTAAACACATGTCAACACAAAAGAGGACACATTGTATGATACCATTTATATGAAATATATGTTGTTAAGTGCTATAGAATCAGTTCCTATTCATAGCGACCCTGTATAGGGTTTTTAAGGAGTGGCTGGAGGGTTTGAACTGCTAACCTTGCAGTTAGCACAAGATAAACAGATAAACTCATTATCTATTTAGAATAGATAAAAACCTATCAAGACAAATAATTAGTGGTTAGCAGGGCTGAGGAAGGGGACAGTAGTCTGAAAACAAAACCTCTTATAAATGAACAGCTAAACCCGAAGAATTTTACTGATTACAATCCAAAGCCAAGTCCATTTGAGCTTATTCCAACGCATAACAACCCTATTAAGACAGAATTGTCCACTAGGGTTTTCAAAGTTGTGGATCTTTACGGACACAGACTGTAACACATCTTTCTTTCACAGACAGGCTGACAGGTTTGAATCACTAACCCTTTGGTTAGCAGAGAGTGCTTCAACCACTGTTCCATCTGGGCTCCTTTACTGATCATACTTAATATATAATAATATACACTTTTCACTTTGGATTCTTAATTTTCTTTTTCCTTCTATAACATACACACAGGCAAACCTCATTTTATTATATTTCACTTTACTGTGTTACACAGATTGATAAAAGCGGGTGATAACCCTGTAGCAAGCAACTCCATCAGCATCATTTTTCCAACTCTCACAAAGCTCCAAACTTTCTCATGCTGCTAGTGCACCCTTGGCAGACAGCAGTATAGTATAGACACAACATTTCTAGGTACTGGAGAACAAAAACGGTGTGCGAATAGCTATATTACAATATACGCTTCATTGCACTGGTCTGGAACTAACCTTGGAACATCTGAGGTATGCTTACACTTGCCTTCATATGATGAAATGAAAAAGTAGAATTATTTTTAATAATAATATTA